TCTAAGAAGAGTTTAAGCTCCTGGGAGCCGGCGGTAGCCCTAGTAACGTATCGTGATCCGCCGGCGACAGCCGCGTACGCGGCGCGCTTCACCACGGAGCCCGACGCCAGACGGACGCAGGCCGACCAGAGGTTGCCCCCCGGCCGACATACGCCCGCCGAACGCCGGGACGCGGATGGCGCGGCCGCGCACGACGACCGCCGTGGACGACGGGCGAACGCGTTCGGGGATACCGGGCCGAGCCGACGGGAACGCGAACACTGACGGCCGAAACCGCCAGCGCCGCGCCCACGCCGACCCGGGTTTACCCGCCTAGTTAGCAGGACAGAGTCTCGTTCGTTATCGGAATTAACCAGACAGATCGCTCCACCAACTAAGAACGGCCATGCACCACCACCCACCGAATCAAGAAAGAGCTCTCAATCTGTCAATCTTTCCGGTGTCCGGGCCTGGTGAGGTTTCCCGTGTTGAGTCAAATTAAGCCGCAGGCTCCACTCCTGGTGGTGCCCTTCCGTCAATTCCTTTAAGTTTCAACTTTGCAATCATACTTCCCCCGGAACCGAAAAGCTTCGGTTTCCCGGAAGCTGCCCGCCGAGTCGTTAATGAAACTTCGGCGGATCGCTAGCTGGCATCGTTTACAGTTAGAACTAGGGCGGTATCTGATCGCCTTCGAACCTCTAACTTTCGTTCTTGATCATACGAGAACGTACTTGGCAAATGCTTTCGCGTCAGTTCGTCTCGAGACGATCCAAGAATTTCACCTCTAACGTCTCGGTACGAATGCCCCCGCCCGTCTCTGTTGATCATTACCTCCGGTCCCGAAAACCGGCCCGGCGGGACGCGCGGGCGACTGGCGCCCGCGGCCCGGCGGCCCGCGCACGGAAACGCCCCGGAGGGCGATTTCGCGCGCCCGCGAAGGGCGGAGATGCGCGGGACCGAGGTCTTGTTCCATTATTCCATGCGACCAGTATTCAGGGCCTTTTGACGAGACGGCCGTGAAGCCGCCCCGCCAGATTTGAGCCTGCTTTGAGCACTCTAATTTGTTCAAAGTAAACGTGTCGGCCCGCCGACGGCACTCGGTGAAGAGCACCGCGCAGCAAGATTGGAGTAGGCGGCCGCCGTCGTCGAACCCCGACGGCCGCGCGACGCGTGGCCGCGCGGCGCGCCGGAAGCACGAGACACGTGTCCGCCTGCCGACAATACGTCCGGCCGACGTGCCGGTAACTAACACCCCGAGACGGCTGACGAGCGCGACGACGACCGCGCCACGGACACGTGGTCCGCGAAACGGCCGGCCGCGGCACGACGGACCGCCAGGGTGGTCCGGCACCGCCCAGACACAGATCCGACTACGAGCTTTTTAACCGCAACAACTTTAATATACGCTATTGGAGCTGGAATTACCGCGGCTGCTGGCACCAGACTTGCCCTCCAATTGATCCTCGTTTAAAGGTTTTAAAGTGTTCTCATTCCGATTACGGGGCCTCGGATGAGTCCCGTATCGTTATTTTTCGTCACTACCTCCCCGTTCCGGGAGTGGGTAATTTGCGCGCCTGCTGCCTTCCTTGGATGTGGTAGCCGTTTCTCAGGCTCCCTCTCCGGAATCGAACCCTGATTCCCCGTTACCCGTTACAACCACGGTAGGCATGGAACCTACCGTCGACAGTTGATAAGGCAGACATTTGAAAGATGCGTCGCCGGTACGGAGACCGTGCGATCAGCTCGAAGTTATTCAGAGTCACCAGGTCTTTGCGCGGGCCGCGATCGGGACGCGCACGAAGCGCGCCGCGACGGGCCGGTTTTGATCTAATAAAAGCGTTCCTCCCGCACGCGACGCCCGAGGGTGCCGCGACGGTCGGAACTCTGTCGGCATGTATTAGCTCTAGAATTACCACAGTTATCCAAGTAACTTGGGTACGATCTAAGGAACCACAACTGATTTAATGAGCCTTTCGCGGTTTCACCCTTATGCGGCTTGCACTGAGACATGCATGGCTTAATCTTTGAGACAAGCATATGACTACTGGCAGGATCAACCAGGGATCTCGGTTTTACAACAACTGCGGCCCGTGACGGGGCGGCGATCCGCGAAGACGCGGACCGCCCACCCGCCTCGGGACGCGTGCGTCCGAGCGCCGGTCCGCCCGTGGGCGAGCCGACGCCGAGGAAGGTCGAACGACCGTGACGTGTCACGGCGAACGACCGACCGCGGTTCGTGTGGATTACGAGCGCGGACGGGCGCCCTTGACCCGCGCTTCGGTCGACGCGAGCGCCGAGCACCGGACACCCGCAGAACGCGGGGACGGCTGTGTTCGGCGGTGTCGCGTGAACGAGCGGCGGGGAGCGCGCCCGACGCGACGTGACCCGTGCGTTGACGAGAGTCGGGTTTAGCGCGTACGCCGTCCGTTTGGGGAGGACGGAGAATTACCGCGCTAGCGCCTCTCGCCAGGTTTGTAACGGCCCCCAGCCGAGATCGTGGGTGAAGCCGGGACGAGACGCGAAGTCCGTCGTCCCGGGGCTTCGACCCGGCGGCCGCCGGGCACGGCGACGATGGCCGGCCGCGGCGGGAATGTTCTGGCGTCGAGAGCTCGTAACTTGCGAAACGGTAGCGGGAGTCGTCATCAATTTTTCGAGAGAAAATGATTTGCGCGTCGGAGGCCCCCGGTTAGGAGGACCTGCGACGCCGGGTGAGTTTTGCCACTCGGCGTGCGAGATGGGTCGGTCGCCGAAACTTGGACGGATACCGTCGACGGCACTCGGTTGCTGACCATTCCGGAGACTGGCAGAGACCGGTGCCCGGCGATGGACGCGTCGGCTTCGGCGTCGCCCGTGGCGTTGCTGTCGTATGCGAGCGGACGTCGGTCGCCGGCTTCACCGCCGACGACCAAGCCGCTCACAAATTTACAAAATCTCGAGTTTCACAACATGCGACGGGGGTATGGGCGCGTAGTGGTACACCCGACCCAAAGGATATGGCCGTCGCCGCGCGTAGCGGTACGGCGAAAATCAAAAAACGTCCATCACCGTGCGTAGCGGGTCGGCGAGAATCGAAAATCCGTGCGTAGCGGTACGGCCTCGATATCGAATATCCGGTTAAAAGGTTACGGACGCCGGTACCCGATAGAACTCGGAACGTACGACGTGATCGCATCCGGGGGTCGTCGTGATAAGTCTAACCGTTACCGAGTAATTGCAAACGAAAAAAAGCAACGAAAAAGTTGAAATACGAAATCGTGTCGGCGGACGTCGCCGGGGCCTGCCTGCATGTACACCGCCCCGGTACCGCCGATCAACGGTGAACGCCGAGTGAAAAAAAAAATCGGATTTTCGCACACGACGATCCAGCCAACCGCCGGTCGCGGGACGTACGGTAACTATTACGGCCCGACCGGGAAGCCCGTGGACCGACACCCCGCGACCGTAGAATCGCCTATCACCGTGCGTAGCGGTACGGCCTCGAATATCGAATAATCCGGTTAAAAGGTTACGGACGCCGGTACCTGATAGAACTCGGAACGTACGACGTGATCGCATCCGGGGCTCGTCGTGATAGGTCTAACCGTTACCGAGTAATTGCAAACGAAAAAAAAGCAAACGAAAAAGTTGAATACGAAATCGGTTCGGCGGACGTCGCCGGTCCTGCCGGCTGTACACCGCCCCGGTACCGCCGATCAACGGTGAACGCCGAGTGAAAAAAAAAATCGGATTTTCAGCTCGGCTGTGGTTTCGCTAGATACCCGACCCGGCCCGCGTGCCTACGACTCGCACGGCTGGGGCGCCCGTCCGACGCCGACTAGGAAGAGATTATCCCCGGTCGATGCACGGCACAGTTTCACGGGCACGGCGCCGCGGTCCGACCGGCACGCGGCCCCTCCGTCGTCGCCGCGGCCGCGTGTGCACGAACCGTACGCTCGCTGTGTGTTTCGCCTAGATACCCGACCCCGGCCCGGGTGCCTACGACTCGCACGGCTGGGGCGCCCGTCCGACGCCGACTAGGAAGAGATATCCCCGGTCGATGCACGGCCACAGTTTCACGGGCACGGGCCGCGGTCCGCCCGGCACGCGGCCCCTCCGTCGTCGCACGCGGCCGGTGTGCACGAACCGTAACGCTCGGCTGTGGTCGCTAGATACCCGACCCGGCCCGGGTGCCCTACGACTCGCACGGCTGGGGCGCCCGTCCGACGCCGACTAGGAAGAGATTATCCCCGGTCGATGCACGGCACAGTTTCACGGGCACGGCGCCGCGGTCCGACCGGCACGCGGCCCCTCCGTCGTCGCCGCGGCCGCGTGTGCACGAAACCGTACGCTCGGCCGTGGTTTCGCTGGATACCCGACCCGGACCGAGTGGCTACGACTCGCACGGCTGGGGCGCCCGTCCGACGCCGACTAGGAAGAGATTATCCCCGGTCGATGCACGGCACAGTTTCACGGGCACGGCGCCGCGGTCCGACCGGCACGCGGCCCCTCCGTCGTCGCCGCGGCCGCGTGTGCCAGAACCGTACGCTCGGCCGCGGTTTCGCTGGATACCCGACCCGGACCGAGTGGCTACGACTCGCACGGCGGGGGCGCCCGTCCGACGCCGACTAGGAAGAGATTATCCCGGTCGATGCACGGCACAGTTTCACGGGCACGGCGCCGCGGTCCGACCGGCACGCGCCCCCTCCGTCGTCGCCGCGGCCGCGTGTGCACGAAACCGTACGCTCGGCTGTGGTTTCGCGAGATACCCGACCCGGCCCGGGTGCCTACGACTCGCACGGCTGGGGGGCCGTCCGACGCCGACTAGGAAGAGATATCCCCGGTCGATGCACGGCACAGTTTCACGGGCACGGCGCCGCGGTCCGACCGGCACGCGGCCCCTCCGTCGTCGCCGCGGCCGCGTGTGCACGAAACCGTACGCTCGGCTGTGGTTTCGCTAGGATACCCGACCCGGCCCGGGTGCCTACGACTCGCACGCTGGGGCGCCCGTCCGACGCCGACTAGGAAGAGATTATCCCCGGTCGATGCACGGCACAGTTTCACGGGCACGGCGCCGCGGTCCGACCGGCACGCGGCCCCTCCGTCGTCGCCGCGGCCGCGTGTGCACGAAACCGTACGCTCGGCCGTGGTTTCGCTGGATACCCGACCCGGACCGAGTGGCTACGACTCGCACGGCTGGGGCGCCCGTCCGACGCCGACTAGGAAGAGATTATCCCGGTCGATGCACGGCACAGTTTCACGGGCACGGCGCCGCGGTCCGACCGGCACGCGGCCCCTCCGTCGTCGCCGCGGCCGCGTGTGCACGAAACCGTACGCTCGGCTGTGGTTTCGCTAGATACCCGACCCGGCCCGGGTGGCTACGACTCGCACGGCTGGGGCGCCCGTCCGACGCCGACTAGGAA